TATTTACTCTGTCACATCCACTATCTTCCAACTGTTTTTCTTCTGCCACTGGTGAATACATTTCCTCCTGAGTTTTTCTCCCTAAATCAATGTGCCAGTGGGGGCCATTCTTCCCAGGGATGCCCACCCACTGAGCATAAGCAAGCACTTTTTTTTCTGAGAGCTAAGGCATACTTTCATCTTCTCTCTCCACTCAGTTTCATAGCAAGACAAAATTAAGAGCTTTTCATTTTTAAATGAAAGTCATGTGAATTATATTAGCTACAGTTAAAACTGTTCCTTTTTAAAAATAATTTAATATTTATTCTGATAGTATGCACCATATGTGTTTATGATTTTCCATTGGGCAAATATTTGAGAAGAGAAGATATGATCAAATTATAACTAAAAAGCAGTTTGTTTCCTTTAACTGAAACAATGGTGATCATGGAAGCTTTAATTAGGGCAGTGGAACATTTGTTTCTAAAATAGTTGTAGCATCAATTGGATCCTCCAGGCAAGTTTTATTTAATGATGGTATGTGCCTAAATTATATCCTGCACAGTGTCAAAGAAAAAAAAAAAAAAAACTCTGAAAAAAATACCCTTTTAAACTATAGATCAAGATACTCAGAATATCCAAGCCAGGATTGTGGCTCAGTGGTAGAGTGCTTGCCTAGCATGTGTGAGGCACTCGGTTCTTAGAGCCACACAAGAATAAGAATAAGCAGGGCGTGGTGGCGCAGACCTGTAATCCCAGTGGCTCAGGAAGTTGAGATTCAAAGCCAGCCTCAGCAAAAGCGAGGTGCTAACCAACTCAGTGACCTGTCTCTAAATAAAATACAAAATAGGGCTAGGGGTGTGACTCAATGGTTCAGTGCCCCTAAATTCAATCCCCAGTATCCCCCCAAAAAAGGTTCATCATCAACAACAACAACTATACACACACACACACAAAGATACTCAGTATAATTTTTTTTAAAAAAAAAAATATTTATTTTTTAGTTTTAGATGGACACAGTATCTTTATTTTATATTTATGTGGTGCTGAGGATCGAACCCAGTGCCTCATGTATGCTAGGTGAGCACTCTACCCCGAGCCACAACCCCAGCCCCTAGATGGACACATATTTTTATTTTATATTTATGTGGTGAAGATCAAACCCAGTACCTCATGCACACTAGGCGAGCACTCTACCACTGAGCCACATCCCCAGCCCCACTCAGTATAACTTTTAAGTGAATCCCAACCACAAGAAATCTTGAATCTTCAAGAAGTAAAAACACTAACACCACTGTTCAGAAAATGATAAATAAAAATGAAATAAAACTATCTTTTAAAAATTATTATAACAGCAATATTAAAACAATGTAAATATACAAGCTTGTTAAATCACTGGATCACATTCTTTAAATTGAATTATAACAGTACAGTATGTACAAAAAGTTCACTGTACGTGGTAATGGTTAACAAGGTATTAGAGTCAATAAAATAAATCTGAGAGGTAAAAACACTCCTAGTAACCAAAGATATTATAGAATACCAATTCAGGAAGTTATTCAGCAGCTTATAAAGAAATAGGAAGTTGTTGACCAACTACTTGAAAAACTATTTCCTGTAGGAAAACTATAAGGACAGCTGAAGAAGGCAGTAACTGAGTTGTAAAGAGAATTAATTCTTTTAAAATAAATCGCAAGGTACTATGTTGAAGAAATTAGTTTCAAACAGGAAGTTCAGTAGAAAAAGTATTATATGTAGTATATAATGACTAATCTTTTTCACATATATCATAATCTTCTCAGAGCTTGAAAATGTTGTGGTTGATAACTGTCCTAGTACCATATTTCCATTATATCACTTGCCAAGACAAGGGTCAAGTCTTCTCCAGAAGGTCTCACTGACCCAGGGAGGGCTTTAAAAATACTAATGATGGCTGTAATTCTTCAGTATACTGCCTTCAAAATAGAGTGTTGGCCAAATGACTTAAAAATACATTTATCTACAGTCAAAGTTAATAACTAGTGTTTCCAAAGTCAACATTTCTAAGTGTTCTCTCAAATTACATCACCTTGCATGTTTGGGCCATTTACAGTCAAGAGTTCTTCCTGCTGAGCATAAATCTCAATAAATGCTATACTTTGTAACTTAAAAGCTCCATCAAATATTTGAAATAATGCATAGTAAGATAAAATTTTCACTGTTCAAATATAAGCATACAACAAGTTTAAAACTTTAGTCTACCTCCAGCTGCTAACAATAATCTTCAGACACAAAATACATAGAACTTTTTTTTTTTTTTTTGTGGTAGTACTGGGGACTGAATCTGGGGCCTTACACATGCAAAGCAAGTAAGTGCTCTCCAGAATTGCATCCCTAGCCCCTTTTTCTATTTTATTTTGAGGGACAGGGTCTCATTAAATTGCCCAGGTTGCCTCAAACTTTCAATCCTCCTGCCTCAGCCTCCGGAGTAGCTGGTATTACAGGCATTAGCCATATACCCAGTATGAGATTCTGATATAAGACATTAAAACTAAGACAAAAATGAATTTGAAGTTTAGGTTATCATCATCTTTTATTCAGGGAGGATATTAATTCCATTTAGCTATTTAGTATACACAAAAATAACAACTTAAGAAGGTAAGCTAATCTTAACATTTCTTCAAACTGCATATTTTCATAGGGCAGATAACTTTGAAAACTATGAATTTTTTTTCTTTTCTTTTTTATGGTGCTGGGGATTGAACCCAGGGCCTTGAGTATGTGAGGCAAGCTCTCTACCAACTGAGCTATATCCCCAGCCCCCAAAATATGAAATTTTATAAGCCCACAATCTGTTTTCCACATACAATGCTTAGAGGACCTCTTTATATACAATCCCAAAAGATATCAACTAATTCATCTCACCTGCTTTTACTAACCAAGATTTACTTCTCAGGGAAAAGCATTCTATTTCTGAAAAGTGATACAAGAAAGTTTTACAGAATCAAACCTTCTCATATTATAATAAGCCTAATCTTACTTTCACATGAGTCTCTCTCAAAAATATGGAAAGAACATTCTGTCTAACCTCTCCACTTGCCAGTTTCTCCTTTCTGGAGGAAGCTTTCCCCAATCTTGCAACCATTCCTCAAAGAGCATAACTCTTACTTTGGCCTGGTTTACCTTCTTTACAAGCCCTCTGGGAAGGGATGAAATGAGATGAGCAAGGAAAATGTGTACACCCTTAATTATTTCATCTACATATTAATATCTTTAAGAGAAACATTTCTTTTCAAAGGAAGACCTATTGGAAAATTTTAAAAACAAATATCTAGAGTCTATTTCAGCTAAAAAAAAAAAAAAAGACCATTCAAAATAATGAAAATATAGGCAGATGTCACCTACAATTATGGTAAGATAAAAAAGACAAAGAATGTAAATGTTGCTCTTTTACCCTTATACTTTCAGCCACAGCATCAAAGAAAGAAAGAAGGCAAACAGGCTATTAGGCTGTTTAAAAATCTCCCCAGGTCAACATGTGACCCAGCAGGGAGAGGTTCAAAAAGTACAGCTTTTTCTTTTTCTTCCTAACAACCTGGTTTGTTTCCACTGTCTCTCCTTCAAGACACATCCCTCTCAGCTAGCAGCTCTTTCAATCATTTACTTTGGATGTCTGCTTGAGAACAAATGATCTTGCTCATGCAGATGAGTTTGCCAGACTTGTGTGTACTTTCCAGTCTCAGGCCCTTTATTTTTCTGGTTGAAACCTAACCATTTGAAATAGATACCAGAATACCAGAAAACAAATTTTTAAAAATAAAAAAAAGTTGCAGGAAAAGAAATAAAAAAAATTGGTAGAAACTTTTCAAAATCAAACCTTTCCTCTGCTGCTATTAAAAAGCCTGTCATAAAACTCTATATTTTACAATGCAAAGTAGCAACCTACCACAAAAGAGTCAATATAAAACACATTTTAAGACACACAATAAAAGAATATCATTAACTGCATTATTTGATCTAATAAATATATCTTACATTTGCTGGGAGTAGACTATCAAGATAAATCTGAATAAATTTATCAAGATTTATCTGAATCAAAACATGAATTTTCACTTTATTATCTCAACCTCATTATTTAAAAAGAATTTTTAAAGAGTAATTTCAGCCTCAAAACAACTAGTTTTAGACAATATTATGTGTACACTAGATCTAAACAAACCAGACAAAATTAAAAGTTTTCCCAATAATTTCAAAATTAGAGAGGATGAAATTCTACTTAGGTCTTTTCAGCCTAATGTAATTTTGCCATTTTCTTAAAGTCAGAAAGACTGATAAAAACAAATAACCTGGTGGCCTTGTTTTCCCAGACGAGAGGTTCTGTTTTGATGACCTTGAAAGAAGCTTGCCACCGAGTGTACATCAAACCTAAAAATTTATATTCCTCTTCACATTTTGGGGAAAAACTGGTAAATCACATCAAACTACAGCTAAAATATTTGTCATAAGATAGCTGAAAATACTGTACAAATAGACTCCTCCAAAAGTCCTACTTATAATTCTTCTCTAACAATAAAATATTTTATAAAAATATAGATAGCTTGGGGTACAGCTAAGTAGTAGTGTGTGTTTGACATTTGCAAGGCTCTAGGTTCAATCCCCAGAACCAAAGAATAAAAATAAAACAATTATATAAATAATACCATACACATTTCATATGACGATGACAGTCTTTTAACTCTCAGAATTATTTTCTGCTAGACTAATTAACACATTTGGCAAAAACTCAAAATGAGACTATCCAAACTGCCAAAAGAGACTGTAAAAAGGCTCTGAACCAAGAATCAAGCAAGCATTCGATAATATTAACCACGCTAAAGAAGGTATACAGGATTTGGTATTTCATACCAAACTAGAAAGAAAACATTATAGAAGACATTGAGCTTGACATAAATATTAAGTAAAATATTAAAAATAATATTCGGTATCTTGACTCTTTAGTATGTTTTCTAATACATGCTTTTATTATTATTATTTTCACTTACTTTAAGAAGTATCTCTGACCAGAAGATGTCTTGGCCATCTCCCAGCCTGCTGGCAGAGGTACATCATCAGGTATCTCAAAAGAAGACTGCCGAAGATGTTGAGCTGTAGGTGTAGCTGCTGGGCCAGAGACTACTCCAGTGGGGGTCAGTGTCCCAGGAGAAACTGCTCCTAGCTGCAGGGAAGCTGGAGAGGAATGAGCTCGAACATGCTGTGGAGTCAGGGCTCCTGCAGTGCCTGCATCAGTACTGGCCTATTAGGAATATTAAAATGAAAATTTAAAAAACAACAAAAAAAAAAATTAGAAAAATTTTCAAATTTCCTAGATAGAATTTTATTGCAACCAAATATCTAAATAGCAAAGGTTAATTTCAACATTTAATATCTAACACTAAGAAACACAGGTGTTCAAATAAATACTATAAAATTATGTAACTTTAAACCAGCTGTGGTGGTCCATGCCTGTAGGTCTAGCTACTCTAAAGGCAGAAATGAGATGATCGATCACTTAAGCCCAGGAATTAGCCTGAGCAATACAGTTGAGGCCTCTTAAAACACTTAAATGATGCAATTTTAATATGCTCTATAAACATAATTTTATGGATGAGCAGTTCATCTAAATGAATTTTTACCTGCTACAAATAAAACATGGCTTCTACATCTTTTAGAGACAACTAGTACAGAATGAAAGATTCCTAGATAGTAAATACTAAATTTTAAAACCTAATTTCTAAAAGGACAAGGCAAAGATTGGAGGTGTAGCTCAGTGCTCAGCAGAGCACTGCTTTTCCAAGTTCTAAAATATTCCAGGTATAAGCACAACCCAAAGAACTACTAAGTATTCTTTCACTAGGCTTTAAAGTTACTGTTTCTTCCTAGGTCTAGAAAAAAACAAATCACTGTGAACAAGTTCATACTTTTCACTATGAGCAAATGCTGATTTATTGATGAACAAATCAGTCATCAAACATTATATGAGTTCAGAAGATTCAGAACTGTCCAAAAATGAATGGAATAAAAAAAAACACCCTCTTTGTACCTAGCAGATAGATATTATCAGCTCAATTATGATATAACTTAAGAATGTACGTGCATATTTACAACTATGCAACATCAGGAAAATTCTGCACTCAAAATCCCAAAGATGTGAATTCCAAGTCCAAGTGGGATAATGTGACACTGAACAAACATCATAACCTCTGTGAATCTGTTTTCTCTTTTGTAAAATAGTCTTTTTCTGTAATAGAAAAATGAAGATATGAGAATTTATAGTTCCCAATTTGTGGACAATATTTGCAACCCAGATTCATACCATATATTGTATATTTTTAAAATTTCTTTATTAGAATCAGGGCTTGGTCATCAAAAACTTAGGATTCATATAGGCAAGGAAAAGAAAACCGGAAGGAATCAGCACGCATTTACACCTTAAGGCAAAGTCATATATATTTCTCACTTTCCCATCAAAAAATTTTTTGGGGGTTTGGGGGGTATCAGAGATTGAACTCAGGGGCACTCAACCACTGAGCCACATCCCCAGCCCTATTTTGTGTTTTCTTTACAGACAAGGTTTCACTAACTTGCTTGGTGAGGTTGGCTTTGAACTAGCAATCTTCCTGCCTCAGCCTCGGAAGCCGCTGGGATTACAGGTATTCGCCACCGTGCCCAGCCAGATTAAATTTTAATGAGGAAATCATTAGCAGAAATAATTTTTCAGATGCACAACACTTAAGTTTTTTTAAAAAATTAAACAAACTACAGGGAATTATGAATAACATGTATCTGCAAATTTCTGCATATAAATTCTTGTGAAACTGTGTACTGTAAGTGCAAGTACACTTTTCATGTTTCAGTTGCATTTCTTTTTTGGGTTACAGACGCCACAAAACGAGTAGTGAAATCTCCTGTGTATACTTTCAACGGCTATTATGTAACTAACAACTTCACTGCGTTGTCTATAGTGTGCATGCCAGTATACATTTACCCATAATGAGTCCAGAAACCCTCTTCCAGGGGTATGGAAAAAAAGCCTACCCAAGTCTACATCTAACAAATTGTTTACGCAAGCAACTAAATAATTTTTCCTTCCTCCTCCTTAACCCAAGTTTTTGTCATCAGGTTTAGTGAGCTTTTCTCTATTCCAAAAATCCCTTGGTCTGCAACAGAAAATACAACAGGCCTGCAAAAAGGAGGGGAATAGGAGTGGGGGCGGTACCTCTTCTTTCCACTCAAGTTACAGCCCGAGTGGGCTAACTACATTGCAGTATTTGGAAAACCAATTAACTCTTGGGCAAAGTTCCTTGCTAGTTTAGCCTGAAGCGAGTTCTTAAAAAAAGAAGGAAAGAAAGAAAATCCTACTAGGGCCTATCGGAATTTTAATCGTTTCATTTCAATGTTGAATCAAGTTGGCAAAATAATCGAACGATGTGTGTGTAGAAAAGCAGCCATGTTCATATCCTCAATAGGAATTAAAAAGCAATGGCGATCCTAGAATTAGTCATCGCTTCCCAAACATTAACTTTTAATCACAGTTGAACCAGGCAGGACTCGGACTATGAGTCAACCTGCAGTGTATTATCAAAGGCTTGTGTTAAAACCTCCGTATTGTAATGCGCAACTCAGTTCCTGCGCAACGTACAGATGTGGCTAATTTAAAAAGCATTTCGGCAGACTGTAAATAATAGTCTACAATTAGGAAAACTAACACGTGAACTTACTAAGTTTGATAAGGGCGAGCCTGCCCGAGTTCCAACGCATAAGGGAAACGCAGAGATTTAAAAGAGGAGGGAAAAAAAAAATAACTCCAAAAACAACTTCCAGGAAAGTCTGGGCAGGGGAAGCCCGAATCCTGTATTCTGAAAGCGCCCGGGCCGCGAGGGAAATAAATGCTTTCGGGAGCTGGAGGCGGAGGGGGAGGGAGAGAAGGAGCAAGAAACTAAATGGACCGGTTCAACCCCCAACCCTAATCAACACTGGAAAACAAGAGAACAATTATTTGACTCCCCAGGAGACTGAAGTGGACCAAGAGGCCCCGAAGGAAAAGGGGGCCCAGGGCTCAACTTCACAAACTCCGCCGCCGCTGGCAGCTCACCCACACACAAATGCCAGAGGTCCCCCCCCCCCCCCCCCCGCCCCGGCCGGCCCCGGCGGGAGAGAAGGTGCAGAGCGCGCGGAGGCGCGCGCATTGTGCAAGCCCACCGCGGCCGGGGCCCGACTCTCCCCACCCCCTTCCTTCCTCCCCCACATCCCCCTCCACTCCCGCCAACCTCCCAGGAACCCCGGGAAGAAAGAAAGGAAGAAGGGGGAAGCACGCCCCCCCCGGGGGGGGGGGGGCTGCAACCACAGAAACTCCAAAGGGAAAAACAAATCTCGGCTTGGGACTCTGGGAGGAGTGGCCGGCAACCGTGGCTGGGAGCCTCCAGTTTCTCCACTTCACCACGAGACACCCCCCCATCCCCCGCTGAAGCTCCGGCACCCCCTCCCCAGGCCCGAGCTTGAGGCCGCGGCTCCCGAGCGCCCCCCCCAGCCTGGGGCCCGCCCGCCCGGGAAGGAGGGAGAAGGGCGACGAGGTTACCTGTCGGGAGTGAGATTTGGGCTCCGGCGGCTTGAAGAAGGAGTCAGGCAGTTTCCGGAGCCTCATGGGCACGGTCTGGGGCACGTTGGCCGTCTTGGGGTTCATGACGGCGTTGAAAAGTGCCTCCAGGTCGGTCTCCGAGTCCCCCCGGACGTGTACGATCTGGTGCCCGGCTGGGGGGGCCTGCGGCGCCGCCTGGGACGCCGGGGGTGCCGGCTGCCCAGGCCCGGACGTCGGGCCCTGCCCCTGGGGGGGCTGTGCTGGCGGCTGCCCTTGGCCCTGGGGGGCCGGCTGGGGCTGCGGCTGCTGCCCGGGATCCATGGCGTCTGCCTCCCGCGACGCGCACCCCCTGGCCAGGCGGCGAGGGCTCCGCCCGGACGCCCCGGCTCGACGGGCCGAGACGCGAGAATCGGCGAGGGCGGCGCTGGGCGGCGGGAGCGGCGCTATCCTCGCTCTCAGGGCCGGGGGGCTGCGCCGCGGCCCCGCATCCCCCGCCCCGGCGCCTCCGCCCCCGCCCTGCGCCCCGGCTCCACTGGTCTGGCGGCTGCGCCTCGGGAGGGGCTGCGAGAAACTCGGACCTGCGGCGCCTGAGAACTTTTTCCCTTCAACTCCCTTGACTGAAGCCCGGCAGCTAGTTGCCTTTCCCCTCCCCCTTTCTCTTTTATTTCCTTTTCTTGTTCCTTCCTTCCTCCCTTTCTTTTTCCCGGCGGCGGCTGCGCCCGACTGAGACAGAAACTCGCCTCAGACGCCAAAACTAAAGTTGAGAGAACCGCCCGCCCGAGCCGCTGGCGGGCTCCGCCTCCTCCCGGCTCTTCCTTCCTCTGCGCGCCCGCCCGCGCCGAATCTGCTGCCGGCCTCGGAGGAAAACTTTCCCTGCAAGTTACTACATTCCTCCAGACTCCCGGCCTCCAACTCCTCTCCCGGCCTCACGTGATCAATTCGTCCTCAATCCAGTCTTCCCCCAGCGCTTCACCGAGCAGGGACCTGTGTAAGGCTCCTTGAGTTCAGACCCCCTAGATCTCTGCAGACGGCTCGGCCGCCTTTGGCCGCAGGAAGTCCTCCCACCCTGCCTGGCCCCTTCCCGGCCAGCGGTCAGGAAAGACTCTGAGCGCGCATGAACAAATGAACTGACCGAGGCCGAAAGAAATCGGGAGAGAACGTGGACAGGCACTTAACTCTCAGCCGGCGGAGTGGCTGTCCCGGGCTTAAAGCCGCAAAGAGGTTCCAGTTAAAAATAGATACCATTAACAGGCACCGATCTTTAATAAAAGTCCATTTTAAAACATTAATTTTGTAATTTTTTCACTTACCTTTAATTTGGAAAAAGAACTTGAAAGGAGTAAATGATTGTTGTAATTAAAACTTTGGGACTAGGTCTATAACCCAACGTATCTTACTAAAAAAAAATTAAATTGAAAATCGCTTCAGCTTTTTTTAAGCAGTGAAATTTGCAACGTAGTCACTGGAAATCTCAACACACAAACATCTAAAATCTGCTTAACTTCAGGAACAAGCATTCCTCTGTACTTATCTTTCATCCTGGAGGCGCTGGGAGCCTACCTCTTAGTTGAATTTCTAATGTGAAATAAGAATAATAAGAAGAAATGGGTGAGGAAGGAGGTCACCGTGTCTTACATGCGAGGAGTCCATTTGGAATCTCAAAAACAATGGAATTTTATTATTATTTTTTTAAGTTATACACTCCTTTTTGGAAATAAACTTTACGGAGATAAAACTTATATACCATATACCGTACAGTTAGTCTATTTAAACAATTCAGTAGTTTTTTTTTTTTTAAGTATATTCACAGAATTGGACATTTTTAAAAGTGCATTCACAGGATTGTGCAATATCACTCTAATTTTAAATCTAACCCTTTCTAAAGAAACCTGGCTGCTGCTTTTAATGATTTTGTCTGCAATGCTAGTGAAACAGAGGTATAAATAGGATTATGCAAGGAAAGGGCCCCTGAGCAAAAAGATAATCTTCTTCCAGCCAGGACATGCCCAAGAGAATTCTGAGAAGAAATCCATATCACTTGGTGTGGTAGAGCTGGGTGAACAGGCTTCAGACACACAAGATTATGAACTGTTCTGGAACTCCAGTTTCCCCTCTGAAGAAAGGAATTGGTATAAATGACCCCCATGATTGCTTCTTGGTTTCATTCCCACCAGCCCCCAAATGTCAAGTGTATTTAACCACAAATTTGCAGATTCTGGAGCTAGAGTTTTGAGCTTGTTTTCCAGTTCTAGCATTTACTAGTTGTAAGACCCTGGACAAGTTACTTATTTCCTGTTCTTTAATATGGGCGTCAGGGGTAATAACATCTATCTCATACATTGTTGAGGCATTAAATGAGTCAATGGGTTTAAAGTGCTTAGCCCAGTTTTTAACATATGGTGAGTTCTGAGTAAATGTCAGCTATCATCATTGTCCCTTGTTTACAGGTTACTTCACAAGTAATGACACAGCTTCTCCTTTGCAGCCCTTTCTAATGCAGTCTCAGGAACCTTGTATGCACTCCCTTCCAGTGATCAATTCAAACAAAACCTTTGCTGGAAAAGTATACATTAAACACTTCAACTAAAAGAAAACTTCAATAATTAAAATGATGAGGTTGTAATGGAAGCTGTCCCTTAACTAGAGCATTTACTACTATGAACACTATAATAAAGGGCTTAAGATACAGCAAGAGTTTGTTTTGTTCAATATTGTTTCATCTGACATTAAATTGAGAACTAAATTGCTTTGATAAGTGGATTGAAAGCATTTGGGAGTGATTTTTATCTTCTATAAGTGCCTCTGTATCATCAACCAAGATTTTGTAACTTACTATTCCTTGTCTATAAAATTTCAGTCACATACAAGGGATGAAGACAATATTATGTGATTCTTTGTCCTCTTTCTCTCCTCTCCCCATTTGGGGTAATTATCCGTTTAAGGCACCTTGAAATGGAGAGGCATCTTGTTCATAAAAAAGATACACCTTTATCTTGGATCATTATCTAAATCTATGGAGATTATTATCTCAAAACATTATTCTTAGAAAATCCTCAACCTCTCAACTACAGTGGACCCTCATCTTTACTTCACTTTAGCTACCTGCTTCTAAATCTAGTCCCTGTCATATTCCAGAACTACTCCAGTTGTTAAATCAGACTATTAAAACATTCTCTTAATAGCCATTGAATTCTGTTGTTTTATTACTCAACCTCATTTATTATTAACTTCTCTCTTTCCCTTTTGTACAATTTATCATTCCCTCCTCTTTTCATTCTGTTGTGGTTTGAATGTTTGTGTCCCCAAAAATTCAAGTTGCGATTTAACCTATTAACTCCCAAGTTTTCAATTATGTGAATATGTAAATGAAATTGACACAGGTGCATTAAAATAGATTGGAAATTGTAATCTAATCAATAGATAAATCTAAAAATTTTAAATAGGTTGGAAGTTGTAATCTAATCATTATATATAAATCTAAAAATTTATATATAATGTTATATTAGCTAATATAAGTACTATATATGCTTATCATATGTTACATATTATATAATCATATACTATATGCCATACTTACGTTTTTATAGGTGTTTCACATCTGAGACAATAGGACAAATGAGTTAATTTCTAATGCATTAGTATTGAGAAATGGCGCCTTTTGGAGGTGATTAGGTCAAGAAAGCTCTTCCCTCATGAATGTGATTAAGGCCTTTATAAAAGAGGTCTATTATATCTCCTGTCACTTTTTGCAGCACCTGCAAAATCATATTCTTGTTTCTAGTGTGATTTGGCTCCATCAAACTTCTATTCTGATGTCAGAACAATCTTTCCAACATGCAAGTTTGTTCATGGTTTGGTACCATTTAGAACAAATTTGGGTTAACCCCCACAGTATGGCATGGAGGCCTCTAACCATCCTAGTTCTTGCTTTTCTCCTCAATCTTTTACCACACATTTGTTTGTTTTGTTTTCCAGGCATACTGAGTCACTTGTGTTTCCTTGAACAAGCTGTTTTCCCTCTCATCCTTTTGCATCTGCAGATGTAATTACAGCTGTTTGTGTCTCTCTTACCTGCCTTTCACCTGGTTTCCCTTGGTACTCAAACTTCAAGACTTAACTTCTAATAGGAAGCCCTCCTTGGTAGTCCCCTTTTCAGCGATTGCCACCTCACAGTAGTCAACAGGCTTCCTCTCTGGGCTCTAACAGAATCTGGCCATTGCCTCTATCATGGAATCTACTACCAGTTTTTTTAAGTATTTATATATGTCTGGTTCCTCAACATTCCTCTGAGTGCTTCTGCAACAGTGTCTCCCATTTCTTTGTCCCCATGACAGCAATGCTTACCAAATAGTATGGGCTCAATAAATGTGGAAAAGTAGGAGAAAGGAAATTAAGGAGAAATCCCAGAGCCCAGAAGTGAAGGGAGGTGTGGGTTTGAATCTCAACTTCTTGCTACTATGATTCTAATTTTGAGAATTCAATCTCCACAGCCTAGACAGATGTTTCTCTACCAGATACTTGAAAACTTTACAACATTTACTAAACACTAATGAATTTTGCCTAAATTTAAAAAAAAAAAATGTTTTTCAGTTCTGGGGATTGAATTGAGGGTCTCATGCATGCTAGGCAAAGCACTCTACCACTGAGCTATACTCCCAGTCCTCAAATATTTTTGATAGAATAAAACGTAACAGTTAATATTGTGCCAGACACTTTGCTAAGTGCTTTAAATGGAATATCTCATTTATTTCACACAACTCTAAAAAATTAAAAATCAAAATTTAAATCAAGCTGTTATACATGAAGAAATTGAGGTACAGAGGTTAAATATTTGCCCCCAAATTGTACTGCTGGAACACGACGGACCTGAGTTTGAACCTACATTTCTGATTCCAGAGCTCAAACACTCCATCCGTAGCATGTTTAATTTCATGCATTGTGAAAAGTTTATCAATAAATTTATGTATATAGAAAGATAAGGGAGTATAGGAAATCTGTAATTTAAGGAGTAGAGTTTTATTTATTTATTTTGACCAATAGTGTTGGTTTAGGTTATATAATCTTAAACATTAAGGACAAAGCTGAGTTGATCTCTGGGAAGTCAGAAAATGAATGAGTGAGGAGACAAAAATCTTTCTTCCAAATAAGGCGTTGCTTAGAAAAAAATTACTGGTTAATATAAGTTTGGGGAGTTTTCATATTGCAACTGATATAAATGACCTCAGTTAGTGAGGATCAACTTAAGAATTCATAGGAAGAAAAGGAAAAACAGTCCTAGCAACTGTAGCTGTGTTTCATAGAGCTCTGTGTATTGCTCAGGA